AAAAACAGTGAAAACTGGCTATCCAGTTTTTTTTTCTATAGTTGTCATGGTACTAGCCAATATAAGCATGCAGCTACAAAGCTGATATTAAAGCACAATGCAAGCACGCAGCTGCCGTATGCATCCACATGAATAATGAAGTCAGTGTACCAGTCAGCCCCAGAGTTGGGGCAAACCGACGCAGCTTTCCACGTGGAAAGCGTCCCTTGGTGTTGTCTGCATTGTTGTGGCAGCCCACGACACAATACTTTGGACGTCGCCGACGCTTATATCGCCTCCTCTGCCATCGCGGAAAGCAACTACGCACAGCGAGTGTCTTGTTTTTGCGCGCCAAGTTGTCGACACGGCGCTGAAGTTCCCCGCACCGACTGCATAAAGCGTTCTGCACGTGTACACCGCGTGATCGCAACTCAAATGAACATGAGATGACGCTGCGGAGTTGCAGCATGGCGGATTGACTGAGGTCACCGCGTCCGCTGTCGCTAACACAAATATTGAGTTTTCTGCAGTGCGGTTGCAGTTTGCGCTGCTTGGTAGAAGGGGTGCGGGTTGTTGACGCGGGGCATCTTATTTTAGTCGGCACGAGGGGTCGCGCGAGCGGCGTTCTTGAAGTGGCCGCGTTGTGTGTGTATAGCACATGGCGCACCGCGTCTCTGCGAAATTTGTTTACATATTTCGGACGCCGCAGCGACATGTAGTCACTGAATACAATATGGTCATTTAATAGGTTCCAGTTAACAAGGTAACACTGGTGCCTCACCTAGAAAGAAATCTGCTTGGCCGTTCGTTTTTTCTTCACGGGCGGCACCATCGTACCGAGCTTCTACCTTATACGACTGGCGCTTGGACTGTTTGGACCTTGGTACACAGCTTCCCTATATTGCCGCTAGGTACCGCATTAATTGCTGTAGGTGCGACATTATTCGGCTACAGTGGCTAGAATGTACTTCGGCGAAACAGTGAATCGCCTGCGCCCTCTGCCGCGTTTATCCTCAAGTTCTCCAGAGCTTGCCGCCAGAGCCAGGCGTGGCGTTGTCGTCGCTCCGCAAACCGAATTTGAGGAGCGAATGAGAAAAGTGGGAGAGGAGCGTTGGGCTAGGAGAGCGTTCAGCTACTTGTCCGCCACTCTAATACGTGCTGTGGGTACTGTGATAAATAAATAGATGATGAATAATATAAATACTAAATGAAAGAAGCGAACTCAAAAATTGTCAAGCAAGTATTTGACAACAGCAGAATACCAAGCAAAAAGAAACATTGGTTAAGAAGTTGAAGGAAACAGAGATGGACATGTGGAAGATTGGAATGCTTACGGAATCATCACAAGAGATCTACCGAACTTACAAGCAGGAAATTGCAAAAGAAAAGATCTACGATAATTCTCGGTGTAGTTCTCTGCAGTTCGAGGTTAGGACGGGAGTATTGCGGACCAAGACGTACTGAGCCAAATACGAAGGTACGTATAGTGCGTGGGGACAGGAGGAGGAAACGGCTAAACATTTGATAATGTTCTGTAAAGGGCTCCACCCATAGTACAAGATGGCGCGGAATTTTTCAAAGCATTGGGGTTTAGGGACATTGAAGGCAAAATAGGTTTTAAACGGGTAGAAATAACCAGGAGGAGGCTAACTGATTGGTGGCTACAATCAAGGCGCAAGGGAAATTCAATCCATAAACACACAGTGATAGCACTTAACTTTATGGCTAGGTGGCGTGAACCACCGCCCGATCTAAAGGGCACAGCCGGATACAACCATCCATCCATCCAAACTTAAGCTTCGATTCCCTCGCTTTCGTCCGTGGCTGCACGCTTTTACTGCCAGGGCGGCACTTCCAGCATCGCGAAAACTCTAGCGCTGATTCCCTTCCTTGCATCCAATGTAGGAGGTACGGGGATCTCAAGGAGGTCATAACCTCCTTGGGGGATCTATTCCCAGTGCCGCCGGGCACCCACCGCCTTTCTAATAAGGAATTTCTCGAGAAGGTGGGGTCTCCTTTACCTTGTCTTCTTCACCCTCACCCGAACACGTTAAGCTGTGCTCCCTTACAGGTTGCAGCGTCTTTTTTATCCTAGAATCACTACACTTCTTATAATGTGAAAGGGTGGATGCTCTGAGTGTTCTCAAGCTTTGTAACAGGATGATAGCTTGCGTGCATGCCACCAAACTCAATTTTTTTATTCCGTCTAATGTCTTTCCTTCGTGAAATAAATATTTATCAACCAAGGGAAAAGTTCAACTACTGTAGCTACCGACAGCATCGCCACGTGGCATCATTCACTGACAATTTATACAGGAAATATCAATGGCGGATGCACCTTTATCTATTGAAATGTCAGCCAGTCTGTCTGAAGTGTCAGCCCGGTTAACCAAAAATCGACGGGGAAAATGGAAGCTTGCGATGAGAAAAAAAAAAAAAAATACGTAAACAGGCCTTGTTTCGACAACTGGACTTTTCTTAAGACAAGTTCACTTCTTGAAACGCCGTCTTGAGCACACAAGCCCTTTCTACTGATTTTTCACCTCTGTTTACGCAAGTTTTAGTCCTCAGAATGATTTCGTCTGTTAGCTATCCTAAACGACGCCGACAAGCACATACACACACACTTCTCAATCCATCATTCGTGCTCATATACCAAAAGTGTATGACTCTAACACTCTGTAACTAAAAAAAGCTTTTGCCTGTGATGCGGCAATCTGGACTCAATAACTAGTTATTACTAAAAGTAGTAGTAATTCTTACTTTCTGCGGGGCAAAATATTCATCTGTACTATTGCTGATAAAACTGCCTCGGGACGTGCGATTTTGGACAAAAGCCGAGTTCTCGCTTAGCTCGAGATCGCATATTCTAAATGAAAGTATCAGCCGACCTTTCCTACCTGCGCAGTTTTACTTGTTAAATCGTGCATTAACCGGTTCAAACGTTACCCGAGCGAAAATTTCAGTTTGCCGCGGTGTTCATATTGTGGCACTTTAGTCCATTGGAGAACGTTACCTTGAATAGCAAAAACGCTTTACCTAAAACAGTTAACTGAGCTAGATGTGATACTTAACGTTCTCTTTTAGTGCATAAAGCTTTGTGCACACTACGGTATCTTTCGTATACTAGAACGTGGGTGCTCTTTTTTTTTTTTTTTCTCAGCCCGCGCTTCGTGTACCAGCTTCGCCTGGCAGAAGAAGATGATACCGAGAGTTAAACGTTGTTACTCCGCCGCGGTGGTCTATAGTGGCGAATGTACTCGGCTGCTGACTTACACGTCGCGGGATCGAATCCCGGCTGCATTTTCGATGAATGCGAAAATGCTGTATGTCCATGTGCTCAGATTTGGGTGCACGTTAAAGAACCTCAGGTGGTCCAAATTTCCGGAGCCCTCCACTACGGCGTCTCTCATAATCATAAGGTGGTTTTGGGACGTTAAACCCCACACACCAATCAAGACTTTAGCGTTTTTTTCTTTATATCATCAAAATAAAGAAAGGGCTTGCATTGTCCCTTATCTTTTTTTTTCTTCTCAGTTGATGTATTTATCCTCCTCTGCCCTCATCCGAAAGCTTTGTGCAGATCGCCTATGGCCTCCTTGATTGGACCCCAGTTCACAAAGCGTCCATGTCATGCGATCATTCATGAGACATTATGCGACATTATGAGACATCATTCATGCGACCATCATGAGACATTATGGTGACTTCCTAAACTTTGGCGATGTGTAACGCCGCCGACGCTCAATTTTCGTGTTTAATGAAGCTTTTCGTGCTGAAGCGAGACAAAAAGATATTGTCGACTTTCTTCAACACCTCCTAAAATTTTAGGAGGTGTTGCTTTCTTCAGGCAGATTAGATCTTTTGGTTTCCGGTTATGAAATAAAGCTAGGCATGCATAGAATTACATACACACATACTCACACAGACACTATACTAGGTTTGGGGCGTTAAACCCCAACAATCAATCAATCAACAAACTATACAAGCACCTTAGTTATTGCTTTTTAGTGTTATTTTCTTTAGTGTAAAAGCTTTGCTGGGACTAAGCGTGTGTGGTGTCTTTTTGTCATTTTTTTGTTCTTCCATTTCATAACCGATTCTTATAGCAACTTATAAATGCAAACCTTCCTGCAGGGAAAATAGAGCGTCGGAACAGGAAGTGATTAAATAAATAAAAAGTACTTGGCGATTTGGTGCATAGAACCTTTGTTTAAAATTTCTTACTGATAAGATGCGCCCATGCACTTGCAGGCAACTTTAATAAATATGTACATTCCGAGATAAAATTTGATCAAGCCAAACGACAATTGAGTCCCATTGGATTTGTATGTTCTATAAAGTGTTCAAACAAATTCTTACTGCTGTAATTAAGCATAGAAGATAGGTCCTCCGAGCATCGATAATTGATAGCTTAATGAGGAGCCCAATATGATTATACAAGTCTGACTGACTTTTTTTTTTGCCATTAACCGACGCCAGGACTGCCCTTACACATAAAATGATAGCAGGGAGTCGTGCTGCTCATTGGACATTCACGAACAGCACCAGATTCCGTTTATTCACGAGCGATGACGACGCTGCAATCTGATTTCCAAGCGTCTTGAAGAAATACCCTAAGAACTTCTTGATATGCACCTGAGACAGGCAGAGGGAGGATTGTCCGTCCCTAATCGCTGTCCGGCGGCGGCACTCCAGTGAGCGTCTGCCCCTGCGCAGAGGAGGCGACCACCTGGCGATCTGCCGCACGCGACCAGCCTGAGTGGGGAGTGCGTAAACGGGAGCGTGCCTCCTTCGGTGGGGGTGTCCTTCCTAGGCCGGATGGAACATCTGGAGGCCGCTCCCCGCCCGTGGCCCATGAAAGGAAGCAGCCGGCACGTGCAGCCGGCGCGTGCGGCGGCTCAATGCACGCGCCGGCAGATGGTTGGGCGCCCGCGTCGGCCTCCTCCTCTCCCCCATAACTTGGAGCGCGCGCCGCTCACTCTCCGCCGGTTATTTGTCAGTGGCCCGGCGCACGATGCGCGTCGTGCTCCGCGAATTCGTCGGCTCCGCGCGCACCCGCTAACGCAGGCTTGCGTTGCGAGTGCGCTGCTGACAGCTTCGGCGACGGGACGCATAGATCACGCCTCGGAATGCCAGCAGTGCGCGGAGAGAGCGTTGTGCGAACCCCTCGCCTCTACGGGATACCCATGCCAAGGTCTTTGGTACGTACTCGTCGTTTAATATCTCTGGACATTCGAGATTGTCGCCTCATTGACTTCGCCACATTATTGGCTGTTAGACAAAAGAAAAGGTTCACGACAGCTGTTGCTTATAGCACGCATAATAACAGTTTGGTGTGAGCTAGTTTACTTATGGCCCGTATTCACAAGCTAACCTCATCCTTATTTCGCGTTTTCCTCATCAGTTTTGTGCCTTTAGTGTGCTTGATAGATAAAGTAGACCAGTACTCATGAACAAATGTTGTAGTTATTATTTACCCTGTTACCATTTTGTGTGCAATTATAATGCTCGTAGAGACTACTGAAACAAAAGTAAAACGCGAGAATAAGACGATAGTTATAACGCGAGAACAAAACGACGACACAGAGACAAGAAGGACACGAAAGACACGTCATGCCATACCAACTAGCCCAAGCAGCCACACTTCTAAGATGCGAGAATAAGGTTGGTTTCTTGAATACGGGCTTATCTTTTTGATCATTACGCGAGAAACGGGGTGAGTGATCGGCAGAAGATAAGGGGGGAAGGACAATCAGCATGTGCAATACAGCGTGCTTTGTTTTCCTGCGGCTTGGTGCATATTTGCAAGCCATTCACTGAGAAGCTTCATCTCACACTGACAGTGGCGTGGGTACACTGAACGCGTTGTTGTGCGTGTGAAACTATTGATCTATGCTCGCGTGGTAAAAATGTGGACCTGCTTAGCATGTGTGTGTATGTCTTCACATTTAATGTTAATGGGTGGTGTAAATCATGGCTGCAGAGGGGTCAGGGGGGTGCTCCTCACCCCTCTCACCTTTTGGTCGGCTGGGATCCTTGATATTTAGCTTTCGAGCACCACATTTGAATTGCTGGACAGCTAAATACAGCAAGATTCATTACACCACTAGGATATTCCTAAAACGTATGCACGATGGTGTATGAAAGAAAAGCTGTACTCAATGTGGTAGAATTTACACATAATTGTTTAACCCGAATGACTCATTTAATACAAATATGCCCTGTACTATTTATGAATTTAACTCATTCAAAAGTGTACTTCACCAACGTACATTTCTACTCTTGACTACTCATTGCTGTTGGATTAAGCTCCCTAGACCCGCGCTGAGGCTTATGCTCGCTTCAATTTATTTTTAGACATGACTTTATTTTTACACAATTAAGTATAAAATCTATAATTATGAAAACAAAATGGCCGCATGTGTTTCCACCCTTGGGATGTTGCTGTATTTACGCCACTGGTGTTAGCAAAGCATCGCATGTCCACGTAACGATGACGCTAAACTATGACGGCTTTGTTCGAAACACATGCATTCTTACACTGAATGAATACAGTATTATAAACAACAACAAATTTCAGTGCTTCAAAACTTCGCAGCTGCTTACTTTTACAATTTGCTTGCATTAATTTCTACCATTCTGTTGTGTGTCTTATAACCCTAAATAAATAGCCTCTACGGAAATGGGAGGATGGTGCATTGCAAGTGGCATGTACCGCGATACTTAAAAAAGCACTCGTGTAGTGAATTTTTTCTTTAGCCTTTCTCGTTTTTTTTCCGTCTTTGTAATTTTTGTTTCTGTCACCGCACATAGTCCTCTTTGAAGTAATGCATAAGCGTAGAGTTTGTTAATTGTACAGACGCTTCATCTTCCATTGGCTAAACAGGCCTGTCGGAAGCTGATGGCGTGTTATGAGTTTACAAGGAGTCGTATGGCACTTGTACAATAATGATAATGACACTCTGAAATGCACCTGTAAGCGATAATAAAACAATGATGTTATGCTAAAACGTTGTTTTTTTTTCTGCTACTTCTTGATTCACTCGTGCCCTACGTAAAAGCTGTGGTGTGTTTATCGTCGCACTCGCTTCGACATGCCTAAACTGAGTGTTAAATGCAGTGTGCGTATTCGTGAGGAAAATTTATTTCTGGGTTGTCTCACACGAATATAAACAGGCTAAGGAGAGAAAACTTGAGGTCTTTGTTACTTCCATCTCGCACGGACTGATTGCAGGAAGGGAGAACAATCACACAAAACATTGGAGGTCCATATGAAAACAAGGTGGAGTTTAGTGCCGAATAGTGGTTTTATAGGCAGTGTGTTATGTCGACCATTGTGTGCCTGTGCAGGACGGCGCCACGTAGCGCGGGGCATGCCGACGCCTGGTTGCAGCAGCAACAGCAGCGACGATGGCAGCCAGCTGGACTGGGCCATCGCGGGATACCGAGCCTGCGCCCAGGAGGCCCTGCGGTTTCTCGTCGAGCAGGAGCAGCTGCCAGGTGCGCCAACAGGCATTGATCTGTCTTGTTTTGCCACTTCGGCACTCGCAGTGACGGCGGCAGCACTAAGTGATCTCCACCTGCCGGGTGCTTTAAAACATGGATACTAAGAAAGGAATACGCTTATCACTAAGAGAGCAACGGGCTCGCTTATTGATAGGCTATACCTTCTCTGCATTCGTCGCATAAATGAGGCCAAGAGGAGGGGCCTCTGAGTGTGGACCTCACGTCCAGATATACGTGACTAGCTATAAACTCAGCATTTGTTGTTCTAAAAAGTGCGCCAAACTAAAGTAGCACTGACACAAGATTTCGAAAGCGAGAGAAGGAGTGTGGTAGATTTATCTAGAGACATACACAACATCTTCGAAATATCGAGGGCAAATATAGCCTAGAACATATTAAAAATCAGATTTAAAGTGCATGCTGCGCATTGAGCGAGGTGCGGAGCCCCTCAAATAATATCCCCTTGGCATTATTGTCTGTCAGATCTCATGAATATGGTGAGTAACAATAAATAGGGGTGTAAAACAAGGGATAGGACCTCTTCAATGCTATTTACCACGTGCATACAGGAGATCTTCAGAGGCCTAGAATGGGAATAGTTAGAGATAGGAGTTGATGGAGAATACCTTAGTAACCTGCGCTTCGCTGATTACATTGCATTGCTGAGTAAATCAAGGGCGAATTGCAATGAATGATAATTGAATTATACAAGAAGAACAGAAAGCTACGTAGGTCTTAAAATTAATCTGCAGAAAGCGAAAGCAATTTACAACAACCTCGGAAGAGACACAACAACCTCGGAATATTCTCCATCTTTCCAAGCGCCGCTTAGTGCGCTCCACCGCTCCTCTCTCCACACGTTCACCCTCGAAACCCAGTGCGATATCCAACGGAGTGTCTCCTCTGCATTGGGGTTCGATTTCCTTGCAGTGCATCACAATGTGTTCGATTGTTTCGTACGCACACTCACAGACTCCACACAACACATCCCGCTGATCACTATAAATAGTCCGCTGGTGCTCCAAGGTGCGCAGGGCCCCAGCTCGCGCCTCGAAGAGCAGGCTGCTTTTAAGGCTATTGCCATATATGGACACCGCGTTAATAGTCCGCTTGTGTTGTCAATATAATGTAATAGTGCATATAATGTAATAGAGCCGGCTCGGTCCTGTCCTTGCTGCTGCTAATGGCAGCAAGGAAGGAGCCGACTGGCAGAACATGGGCAAGGCTTTTGTGCTGCAGTGAACGAAGTCAGGCTGCTGCTGCTTCTGCTGCTGTTGATATCTGTCTAAAAGCTGTAATAGTGCTGGCTTATTGCTGCAAGTCGCTATTTCAAATTTTTGCTGTTTGTATCACCGCGTCACCTGCCAGCTGATGACAGTGGCAGTAGCCATCAGCTGCCATTGTCAGCTGCTAGCTCGTGATAAGATGTGCTACGTGATGCGAACAAGAAAAAGAGTGCTCCACAGTCATCGTAACAGCAACAGGCGACACCGAATGACGCTCCTTCAGATTTACTTTACAGTGACTTCTAATAACGTCCCCTTTGCTTTAATTAGCATCATTTTCTGTTCTCATTCATATTGTGCCTAACAAAGAAAACGAGCTCTTAAATTTACACTTATTTCCTCCATGCGTTATTAAGTGAAATTTTCCTACTAATACCGCTATAATGCAGTCATGGGACGTTATTCGTTGTAGCAAAATGTCCCAAAAGGAGGGTGTGGTTGCTGTTATACGTCTTCTTCTTCTTCTTCTTCTTCTTCTTCTTCTTCTTCTTCTTCTTCTTCTTCTTCTTCTTCTTCTTCTTCTTCTTCTTCTTCTTCTTCTTCTTCTTCTTCTTCTTCTTCTTCTTCTTCTCTTCTTCTTCTTCTTCTTCTTATTATTATTATTATTATTATTATTATTATATATTATTATATTATATTATTATGAGTCAGGAGCGCAATGCACCCATATCCCGCCGTGAAACGGCGATTGAAACAGGAGGGGCAAAACGTGCAGCGATTCAGTACGCAGCGGGAACCAGTGAAGCTCTTGTACGAATTTTCAAAGGCTATGGTGTTCTAATAGCCCACGTCCCTAATGGAAAACTACGACAGCTTGTTCACGGAAAGGATCCTCGGGAGCGCACGGACTTTCCGAGAGTTATATATATATATATATATACCATACGGGGATTATGATGTGTCGAATATCGACGAGAGCGGGAATTTCAAAAGTCGTTAGATACAACACAAAAACGACGTTGCCAAGGGTCATACAACTGCGAACGCCTTGGCGGAACACCACAAACATGCCACAGTATTGACTTGGACGGAGCAGCTATCATCGCAACGGAAAGACATTTATCTGCCCGTCCGCTTTCGGAATCGTTTTACATTCAGTCGACTATAGCTGCACGATAAACAGGACAAAGGGCAATCTACCTGAGATATACACCCGCACGCTGCGCCACCCTATAGCTATAAATAGCAGCATGCCCATGCTAACATTTTCATTGGGACTCGTAAAAGGCTCGAAACTTCAGTGCTTCTTCGATTTTACTTTTGCCTTGGAGAGTGTATATTTATTGCACAAATAGCAATATTGATTGATTGATATGTGGGGTTTAACGTCCCAAAACCACCATATGATTCTGAGAGACGCCGTAGTGGAGGGCTCTGGAAAATTTCGACCACCTGGGGTACTTTAACGTGCACCCAAATCTGAGCACAGGGGCCTACAACATTGCATCCTCCATCAGAAATGCAGCCGCCGCAGCTGGGATTCTATCCCGCGACCTGCGGGTCAGCTGCCGTGTACCTTAGCCACTAGACCACCGCTGTGGGGCGAAATGCCAGAATGAAACGATGTCGTATTCGGCCTGCTCAACTCTCTGCAACTAGAATTAAGTATACGCAATGCGGATGTACAGTGGCGGTCAAAATATTGCGGACCATGGGAACGCGTGTCAAATTTTATAGAGTGCCTCAATGCGCTTGTTCACCTCTGCTCCCTTTAGAGTGCAGACAAGTGCGTCGTCTGCTACAGCCGTCGCCATTATTTGGCCCACCCCTCAATGCGCGCACTGCAAGCGCACGGCTTCGCGGCCTTTTGCTCTCGAGTAAAGACACTTTGTGCTGGAATTGCCTCCACAAGTGCTAAATCGTTCACGAATGTTGCTAGTTATGAGTTTGTAAGCACGCACCTCAACAAGTAAACGAACGTTTCACGCGTGAAAGTGTTGCAGAACGTATTGATCTTGACTGGCGGGTCACTCGGCTGCTGATTGCGGCTGAGTGCATGGTCGACAGCTCCACACATCACTATTCACTTTCATACTTCATGGGTGAATATGTTAGTGTGTGTGTGTGTGTGTGTGTGTGTGTGTGTGTGTGTGTGCGTGCGTGCGTGCGTGCGTCTTGAAGGCACGACAGGTTAGCATTATTAGGTCAAATGAGAGATGCGGACACTGTTATAAAACTGTAATAGAAAGGTGTGATCCTTGGACGGTCGAAACAAAAAGCGGTGCAATAATGCACCTATACCATTAAGGCGAAGAACATCTCCTTTCATGTACGTCATTCGTTATTCCAGCTCGAATTCCCGAAGTTCCACATATATTATTTAGACGCGCGAAATAATAATATTAGCGCGCAACGCATCAAGTGCAGCAGATGAATGAGCGAAACATAAAAAATCGCAGCATATCCACGCGTTCCTGCTCAGCCACATCAATTACGTCGCCTGTGCCCACAAATGGACGAAGGTAGGAAAGATAAAACTAAACACGCTCATGCGCCAAAGTATTAAACAAGTACTTAATCGGTTTACCTCAAAACTCGAGTACTTCCCGCCTCGACCAACTGGGCATGCACAGCATCGATGAAGTGATCGAGGCCCAGACCACGGCCCAAGTGGTCCGCCTCTCCTCTTCCAAGGCAGGCCGCCAACTTCTAAGCGAGGCTGGCATGTCCCCACATCCCTACCTTGAATGTGCAGTAACCCTCCCCAGAGCTGTCCACGCTACCTACATGGTAAACCTATTTCCGCGAAATGTTCACCTGCAACACAACAAGGGCAGACAACTGGCCCGCGCTCGCGCGATCCTCAACCGCACCGCTGCGAATCGCAACTCTACCGTCTTCGTCGATGCGGCGCAATACAATAACTCCTCCACCTTCGTACTAGCGGTAGTAGGTGACGACGGAACCGTATACGCTCAGCCGCCTCGGTTAGGCTAGCAACAAGGGCCATAGCCGAGCATGTTGCTATAGCTTTACCGATGGTCGACCCCTCACACACCCATGTTTTCACAGACTCTCGCGCCGCCATTCGGGCTTACGAAAGTGGCGACATCGCTCGAGAAGCAGCCCACATTCCACAAACACGCAAATGCATGGGCTTGCCCTACCTCTCTGGGCTTCCTGGCCACATGGGCAAAGAGGGCCACCCACTGCAACCCAACCTCAACGAAATGGCTCATGATCGAGCGCTAGAACTGACCCGCCGCGACGATCAATCAGCCACTGAAGAGCTGGGCTCAGACGTACAGTTTAATGATCCTTTACTCACCTTTCACGAAATTACTTCATACTACCGAAACGATAGAAGCCGATACCCTTTACTACGTGCAAAGCTTGAACGCGCGCAAAAGGTAGCCTTTCGCATTCTACAAACGAGATCGTACCCATCATTGGGCCGACTCAGCCATTGTCCGCGCATGCGTCCGTTCGTGAATCCGTTCGTGCGTGCGTCCGTCAATTCATCCATGTGTGCTTCCGTCTGTCCGTCCGTCCATTAATTCGTCTGTGCATGCGCCTGTCCTTCCGTCCGTTCGTGCATGCTTCCATCCGTCCGTCAATCTGTCCATGCGTCCGTCCCTGCAATGCGCCCGTCCGTCCATCCGTGCGTTTGTCCGTTCGTGCATGAGTCCATCAATCCGTCCGTGCGTGCGTCTCTCCGTCCGTGTGGCCCTCTGTGCGTTCATCTGTCCGTGTGTCTGCCTGTGTCTG